AAATAGGTAACTTGCTTTATATTTAACTTTATCAGTAGAGATAAATAATATTTCTTAAAAAAATATTTATTTATAAATGAATATTATTAAAAATATATTATTGAAGTGAATCAAACATAGATGCGAAATAAAATCCAATTTATGTGGATTTTCGATATTCTTGGTTGATTTTCCACTCAAGGTGTGATTAAAATGTGTCGATAGAAAAGACTAATGCCTATATTAGATAGTATTTTCAGAACGATGTGTTTTGACTAAAAACCTTTAATAGCTGTAATGACTTCTTGTTCTTTTTAGGCATCGAATCTCGTAATAGTGCTCAATAGGTTTTTCTTAATTTTTATTGGTGAGTATACATCATATATTCACGTCTATCATGCTTCCGCACATTTTATATTTTATAGGAAGGTGTCAATTTTTTATTTGGCAAGAAAAACTACAAAAATCTAATATGACATCTTAAGGATTGATATGTTGATACTTGTTTGAGTATCCGACTCAATTTGTCATGAGTGTCATGAGTTTAACCTTTTAAACTAGATTTGGTGTGGCATAGAGCATATCACATGGCGTGAGTTAATTGATTTTTTTTTTTTTAAATTCCAGTCCACCTCAATGTCTTTTCCTGACTCCGCACCGGAGCTTGGTAGGTCATAATTTATTATTCCTTTTAAGTATTTTTTTAATTGATAATTACCTAGAATAACAGTGTTATAATTGCCTCGGAGATTTTTATAAAGAAATCATTTTTCAAATTCATTTTTAACCACACATTCTCTTAATAAAATAATTTTGCATGTAGAGTTATAACTTTTTCTTATTTTGCAACGACAAATTCTCCAAAGAAATGACTATTTAGCCAATGTCGGGTAGAAATTAAAATCTCAATTTTAATTTAAGTCAAAAATAACAACTAATTTTAACTACATATTTTATGGATTCAACAACTTTAATTTCAACCACATATTTCATCAACTTCTATCAAAATCTATTAAAAATCTAATTTTAACCTTCACTAGACATGAATTTTATTTTTAAAAAATCTGCATTAAACATAATCATGATTTATTTCATAACAGTATTTTTATTTTATATTCATTATGTTTTGAGTATTTCTCAAGATACTTGATTTCTCTTCTCATTTTTTAATTTGTCTTGTCATTCTTGCATATGTTAATGAAAGTTATTCAAATATTCATCCAAAATAGAATTTTTTCTATCAATCATGAGATTTGTGAAATTAATTTTTTCAAGACTTTCATCTAACTTGTCCCTATCGAGATGTGAGAGTATCAAATACACACGTGACAAAAACCTAGCAAACATCCCTTCGCTCGTGGCACGAGAAGGTTGCTAGCAGTTGAATGCATAACTTAAATTATGGAAAAGTGAACTAATGGTAGTATCATATACAAGTATTATTGCGGTATCCTAGTTGAAGTATTGTGTGTTGGCTCTCGTCAAACTTGTTGAGCATTTGTGGAGATGGCTGGCTTGGGGCGATGGTGCCGAAACCTGTAGGCATCACTTAGGAGATTTGCGTCTAATGGTACATCTATGTGGATGAATAAAAAAACTATTGAGATGACAATGCGACTTTTTATTGATTTTTTAATGAAATTGAGATGCATTTCAAATCATCTTCAATGCATTTTATGGATTGCCATCTAAGTGGTATGCTAATTGAAAGCCTTTCATTCAACGTGACATTGTTATTAATGAATGAATAATGCTATATAACTCTAGTGGTGCTGTAATACAAATCTAAATGACCAAATGTAATAGATTTAATTAAATGAGCCGCATATTCTTGAGTTTAAATGAATTTATTATTTAGTGCTCGTGCATGCGTGAATTTTATGAAAAGTTTTTTTTTAAAGGGAAAATGTTACTAAAATAAGGGAAAAATTATAAAAAAAAGTGGTTTTTTTTTTTTTATTTTTGAAAAAAATAATTGCAAACAAGCACTTAATGTCACGAATATTGTCGCCTAAATCTAGTGTTAAACACCAATTAGACTAGATAATATTACTCTCAAGGAATAAACACTCATGTTCTGGCCCGGCCAAGCCACCACCCACTGATTTTTTTTTTAGTTAGAAAAAAAAATTATGTAATTTTTTTTTTACGTACTAGTCCAATCTGTAATCCGGTCCTAGATCAGTCCATGCTCATGTTAATTGTCACATTCATTTTTTATTAAGTTCTATCGTCAACATGTCTAGAAACAAGGTCAAGCTTCGCACCAAAATACGAATTTTAGAATACTGCTAAATAGCATTACTCTTTTAAATGTCCTTCAGTTAATGATAATCAATACTAATATTTAACATCAATTTGCGCTACAATCTCTAATTTTGTCTAACTTACACACGTCCTGATAATTGCAAAGACAAACTCCATTGCATTATTAAATTCAAACATCTTCATCTAGAAAAGTAGGTCACTATTTTCCATTACTTGGTACGTACTACATTGTACTGTTTTTAGGAAACGTGTAAAGCCTGTGTTTGGATAACAATTTATGTAATTTATAGATTCACAGAAGATAAATATTAATTTTCAATCACACATTCTTAATTATTATTCATTATTATCTACACATTTCATAAAATTTATTATTATTTCTCTTTATAAATCATTTATAAAAATGCCAAAATGAGATGTTTTCTTCAATCCTCGTCAAGAACAGTAAACTAGAAGTGACGGGAGAATATTATACTCCGTTTGGTACCGATTAAAATTTTAATTTTAATTTAACTCAAAATTAATATTTCATTTCAATCACATATTTAAATACATCCTATATAGTGTCTCTTGAGCGCACCTTAGTTAATTTTAAAAGTACGTCTTAAATCCTATAAATAAGTAATTTACTCAATTTTAACTTTGATTTATTTAAATTTAGAAATCACATTTTTACTTATAAGTAAAAGTTAATCTTTTAAGACTAATTTTTTTATTAATGTCAAAATATGGAATTTAGGCCTTGTTTGAGCCACTTTTTTGTAGAATGAGAATGAAAAATATAACCGTTATTGAGGCCCACATAAGAGATAAAAAAATTTGAATTTAAATGTTGATGTGATGGATAACGGTCATATTTTTCATTTTAATGAGATAAAAGATGGTCCAAACAGGGGCTTAGTTTAACTCTAACCATTAAAAAGAACTTATTTATTTTAATACATGCTTATTTACTTATAAGCCACATTTACTCTAAAAAGTAACTCTTACGCTATTGTCGAATAAGGAACTTATTTTAACTTCGATGAAACAATTATTAATTTTAAAATTTACTTATAAGAAAAATTACTTTTTGTTTTCCCGATTGTAAGTAAAACATGTTATTTTTTTAAAAATAACTCTTATATTTATGTCAAAATAAGTAACTTGCTTAATTTGAACTTCGATTAATAAAAAGGCATTTTTATAAAACTCACTTATTTTCTTATTTGCTATCTCAATTCTGTAGGAGATATTACACCGATAATGTGCATATTATATTAATAAAGAACATATTGGGAAATCAAAATATCATTCGATTTACCGAAATCTGATTTGAATAGACAAAATAGTGATTACCGACTTCCAATATATGAATATGGATTCATCACTTTCCAATCTTGAACGCATGTCATTTTTTAATTCAGACCTCGCATGAAATCAAA